AGAGTGTTTTCCACAATTAATAAGGGCAGTGGGTGCAGTACTGCATCCGGGCCTCTACTCATGGGGCAGGTGCAGATCTCAGAAAGACTTCTCGTACAGAATCAGTCCGGGCCCCTCAGCTGGGACGCACACAGGGAAGCCCTTACCCCGTGCACGCCAGAAGGAACATTCTTATCTCTGCAGAGGAGGGTAGTTGTATCAGCAAGTAGCATTAAACACCCAGAACTCAGCTTGACAACGGCGCTCCTCCAACTTTGTATTTCCTATGTTGTCAGTACTTGAAAATGCTACAGATTGGGTCATTTTAAAAGCAGGCTTAACAAATACAAGAAAAACTCTTTACCCACTACTGTCTCCTTTCACCAAGATTGGTTCAACAGTAAGAAAGAAATCTGAAAAACCAGGAGTCCGCTGTTCAAGAGTAAAAGATAGTTTTTTTAAGAGGAGTAAGCAAGGGCATAGAAACATCGTGCACATTTTCCGGGTGCTTCTCATTTGGCCTTGGCCAGAGACAAGTCATTTTGGGTGCGCATGTGTGTTCATGGGTACATGCAGTGTGTGGGTCAGGGAGCAGGACCACAAGCCTCCAAGGGCCCGTGTCCCTCTGATCTTGCAAAACTGCTCTTTAATAATGAAAGTAAAGAAAAATGAAAATGAGAGATAAAGAGCTCGAAGAGATCAGTTACACTACAGAAAACCTGGCAAGAAGACAGGGGGGTCAGAGAAGACTAGGAAGTTTTACTGATATTTTGAATATAAGCTCTCTGTATTGCTAATGACTCTTCTCCCCACAAAAACCTCAAGAATGTAGAGACCTACTTGATTCTCAGGCCGCTATAGGTCACTAGGACTCTCCTGTGATCAGTTAATGTCAGCAGCCCCATCATGCAAACCAAACACCCCTAGATGTGACAGAAGGAAGAAAAGGTAACGGTTCCGTTCATGTCATTACATGCACAATACCAATTTCAGTAGATTAAAATAAGAATGAGTGAGATAACTGATGAGACAGCCAACCATTCTTTCTCAAGACAGAGGAACACTCCTTACCTGACTAGACAGAAAATATGATTATTAATAACTATCAAATCCACTATATTAACTCTGGAATACAGCACGTTGGGAAAGGCTAACTGGTGATAAAAACACTTTCACTGATGTCATCTGATACTATACAAATTGGTGAGCTAGGCATTTTACATACGAGAGTTCAAAGGCAGGTTACAATGACTTGTCGAAGAGAAAGCAAAAGCACAAATATTTCCAAAGCCTTCCCTCCCACCCCGCGATCACTGGCTGGTGGACATTTGATTCAGACTCCACGATGCTTCTGACTGAGACCAGTCATGCAACATGAACCAGCCCGGGTCTGTGGGGTGGTGACGACTCTGAGAACTTGAACTTTCACATTTCCTGACTTTGCAAGGCAAGGTGGCTGGGGGAAATGAGCTAAAATTCTACTGTGTTAGTGTTATCTGTCTCAAACCATGTCTGCACTTTAAGTTCCTGGAAGGTGAGAGGGGAGGTTTGTGAGGATTAGGGGCGAGGCAGAACACCGCCCTTTCTGGGCAACTTGTCGCAGCTGAATGTCAACTGAAAGCAGTTGTCTCCAAAGACTGAAGACTTTATTTACTAAGCATGGTCAGCCAGGAGAATTCCTGTTGGTCTAGGAAGTGGTGGGGAAAGACTGAGAATTTAAAACCTTCAATCATACTGAAGCTGGAGACGAGTTTTAAAATCGGTTACTAAGTTTACAACAGCAAGCCACGTTGTTTTCTATTTTGTCATCAAACACACAAACTTTGAGGCTTCAGGAATTAAGTGTCTAGATGAGAGAAGTGACTAACAGTTACTCAGTGCATTTTCCAAGCGACGGGCGTGATTTCTCTTGCCTTTGCTAAGCAGCACACCCAGAGTGTGTGTCTCTGTACCTCGATTTGGCTGACACAGCTGTGAGGGCTCCCTGGCTTGTTGTGCTGCTGGTGCTGGGTAAGTGACAGACGCAGGCCAGCGAAGAGAAGCCATCATCCAAACAGAGCCAACTGTCCTGCCTGCCAGCTTCGGTGCACACTGGGATGGCACTGACCTGCTCACTCTTCCAAGCCGTACTGTCTCCCAGCACTGCACCTGGCACAGCCTCAAGCTGTCTCAAGGCTGCCCAAGCAACCCAGGCTCAAAACTTAGCGGCACCTGTCCCCACACCTCCACAGAACCAGAACTGCTGAGAGACGCACGGGCATGCGTGTGCCCAAAGCCTTACTTAGGCCTGAACTTGACTGTCATAATAGATAGTAGATCTGGAGCAGACTTCAGAAGTAGTCAGAAGAATACTTCCCCACAGTCACCCGAGTGGCTCCGAGGAGGCTCCAGAGCGGGGTACCAGCCCTTCTGCCTTGGATCGATGAGGCCTCGGCCTCCTTTTCCAGCTGGCTGTGCTCCCGGGTCAGGCCCGAGTGACGACACGGGAATGCACGGTGTGCACGCAGCCCCTTTAAAAAGATTTGGTGTCTTTGGCACAGGAGAGAACTTCCTAGGATTGTGTGGCCTGGTCTCTGGCATCCAGGGACTGTGTGTGCGGGAGAGTTGCACTGACCCTGGGGACGCAGGAACTCAGAGACACAGTCCTCAACCTCGGTTGACTGGACTTTCATGAAAACACGTCTTCCAAGACTCAAGCAGGCCTCAGGCACACCCACACTTGTTTCAGCTCCCTTTTCTGTATGTGTCAAGCTACATTAATGTACTTGGGGTGGAGAGAAAATATACACAGGTTCACAAAAGGTTCGCCTGTGCTGGGGACACCCGGACACATGGGGTCTGTTCTCCCCAAGGTCCTGAAGACAGGCATTTTTCAGATGCGAGAAGCGAGGTTCAAGCGGGTTAAAATGACTGGCCCAAGGTCAGTGGAGCTGATGATTATTTGAAATATCTAACAAGTAGGTCTGTCGCCCAATGCACAACCTGCACTGGGCAGTAAGTCGGGACCAGGGTTCTAGAGCCAGCTCAGGCCCAGGCTGCTGGGACATCTGGTGGCGGCTCAGGCCGGGGACCCGCTGTCCTGACAGCAGATGCCGAGACTGTATCGCCACCGGCTTCTTCCAAAGAGTCACACTGCCAGTCAGGTATGCTAGAGTCGGTCTGAGATAACAGCAAAGCTCTCACTCTAAAAATAGCCACCAAAACACGGGCAGAAGATTGCTGTGGTCTCCAGAGAAAGGCAGTGGTTCACTTCCTTCCGTACACACCATGTCCTTCCAACCACTTCTGTTTCTTGACACGATTGGTAACCAAGGAAGTTCTCTATTGCTTCTTCCCCTCCTTCCAGTAGTAGCAGGCTGCTACTGTTTCCCTCCTGTCCCTAGTGAAATCCTTTCTCACCGTACTGAGTCTCAAAGATCGGTGCAGGGAATGCATCTTCCCTGTGATTTCTGAGCTTTGCAATGGTGAAGACGCAGACGATGCTCGCCATTCCACAGCTTCCGAAGGCTGGGTCCTGAGATGCTCATGGCCCCACCCTGAGGGGATGTGGCTGGGAACCGTTATGTAGGGTTTGTAGGCTGAAGAGTCACAGAGGTTGAATCCAGACAAGCCTAAGGATTTCCAAACTCACGCACACCACTATGGCTCACCGTTTCCCGCTGACACCAAGTGACATGTGAGTCCAGAAGGCTCCCCTGAGCCACAGTGCACAGTGGAAGAGCAGCCTGAAGAGCAGAAGCTGGCGGAGCTTCACCCCCCAGCTCTCAGCCTGCAAGCTTCAGGTCCAGGCTTCGGGGAGCCACAGGGTCTTGGAGTCACCCCTGGACACCGCAGGGTATGAATTTAAAGCCCTGAGGGTGTGGCTCTCTGGGGCCCTGCCCCCCGCCACCCCCACAGCCTGACCCCAGGCATTCGCTCAGATTGCTGCGATCCAGAGAGAACAATTATGAAGTTCTCTTTGTAAGGGCAGAGTTACAAGAGCATCAAAGATAC